ACATTAGCTTTTTCCACATCCTCTGTCACTAGGTTGCCTCCCTTAGTCAGTAAGGGGGGACCCACACTTTCCTTGACTTTCTTCTTGTTGTTAACATACCTGAAGAAACCCTCTTGTTACTCTTAACATCTCTTGCTAGCTGCACCTCCAAATGTGATTTGGCCTTCCTGATTTCACTCCTGCATGCCTGAGCAATATTTTTATACTCCTCCCTGGTCATTTGTCCAAGCTTCCATTTCTTGTAAGCTTCTCTTTTGTGTTTAAGATCAGCAAGGATTTCACTGTTAAGCCTAGCACGCCTCCTTCTTGGAACACCATCCCATGGTCGAAGAATCCAAAGCCTTTTCTCCGACACCACCTGCTTAGCCATTTGTTGACTTGCACAATTTGACGGTCTCTACCCAGGCTTTTTCCCTGCACAGGGAGGATGGACGAGAACACCACTTACGCCTCAAACTCCTTTATCCTTCTTCCCAGAGCCACATAGTTTGCTGCATAGTCATATGACTATAATCAGAGTGTAAAGACAAGGGCACATGAGGTGTTTTTGTTACAGAGCTGTCATGGATTCACACAGAGAGCTCTCTTGGAACTAAAAGCATGTCTGCACTGCAAGCGCTACAGCTGAAAGTGGCCAGCCCAGAATTGTTCCGCAGACCCAGCTGTGTCTAAGTGGGGGCTAGGCTGACCTAACTATGGCAACGTCTGCACTACAGAGTTTCGTCAATGCCGTGTGTGTTGGTTAAAGCAGGTTCTTCTTTGAGCGATGGTCCCTATTGAATTCCACTGAGGCTAATGCGCATGCGCCCTGCTCCCAGAGCCGGAGCTTTTTATAGTAGTAGTGTCTGTGGGGTCACGTGTGCGCCCTTGCGTTGCCTTGTGGTTTTGCCTGCGTCTCCAGTTCCCTCTCACCGCCGCCCGGTCCAAGTCAGAGCTTCTGCTGTCCTCTCGTCCCTGGTGACGCATTTTCTTTCTTTAGTCAGGATGTAACCCGCACAATTTAACGCTCCCACCCCCTCCCCATCCTTGTGGGTACAGAGGGACAAGAGGCCCAACTTCACCCCTCCCTGGGCTCAGGGCCAATATCCCTTCCTAGTGAACTCAGGGTGCTACAGGTCTGCAGGGCCCTTTCCCAATGAAAGAGCCTTACACAGTCATATCCTTAAACATGTTCATGTATTTATTACCAACTAATCAACAGAATACACACGCCAAGCATCTAATGCTCACCCCTCCCAGCAAAGACAGCTGGACGTCTCCCGGTGGCCAGTCAGGATCTGCTCTCGTCTGGAGCTCCGTCTTCTGCGCAATATGGTCGTGCAGGGGTAAAAGTCCTGGCACCTTTGATCTTGAGCTGTGTGTCTGAGTTAAGTTCCAACGATCCCGTCTTCTGACCCCCCATTACGTAGTTAAAATGAGGATTTCTCTTATCTATGCTTGAACCAATTATAGCTGTGCAAAAACACTAACCATTCATTTTCACTGTACAGGGGTTCACATGCCTAAGACCACCTATTGCATTAGCTTTTGTGTTTTTCAAAATTAGTTAAAAACAAGGTCCACTTATCTTTCTGCTTTGTTAGTGGAATACACTGTCAGGGTAGAATTGCTTAACCAGCAGTAGACTGGGACTCTTTCCCTATTTAAAGTACAGAGAGCAACAATACCCAAAATCCAAAGGTGCAAACAATTCGATGTTTATTGGGGTGAACTTCCAGCAGGCACGATTCCAGTTTCCTTCCTCAGTGTCCCCCTTCCAAAACCAGCACCAACAG